AAAAAGGCGGTTACCTCAGGGCTTCATTGTGAGCAATTCTAAATGTGGAAAACTGTCTTTTGCGTGACACACAGTAGTTACCTAACACGTGGCATGTGAAATGGATTTCTTTTAATAATAAAAGAGTAATCCACCAAAGTGTGGGATTTCTAAAATTAGTAACCTCAATACGTTCCACTTTTAGTCTCATTGATGTCCCTAAGGAAGTAGAATAATATATGACCAGCTTCATTTTGACCCTTTGATGTTTTAAAGGGACAACTGGTGTTAAGTTTGGTGTGAAACATGCTTAAACCCTAAAAGGATGAGGGGGGCAGTTGTTCCATTGCATTCATGAGTTTTGTATTTCAGATTTTTTTTTCTCAGAATAGTAAAGACCAGAGCTTTTATTTGAGCAAAGACTATCAAAACCCAAATAGGCAGTGGGTAACTTGCCAATCATGATCTTTCAGCCCATGATAACTTTATGAGTGAGATTTTCAGAATTATTGTTTTAATTTAAAGTCACCAACATATTACAGGGTTCTAAAGGTGAAGTTAGTTTAAAAATTACTCACAATTATGTGGGCCCTTTGGTATTTTTTTTTCTGAGCATCGTCAGTGTAGTGGTTGGTTTTGAATGGATATGGTTACTGCATGGAGTTGGTCATTATTAGCTTTAACTTATGAAGTGCTCAGTGGTTTTTGATGGGTACTGAACGTATTAATTTCACATTAAAATAATCCTTAAAGAAGTGGAAGTTGAGTGCACAGTATTTTACAGAAGGTGCTCAGAATGATGCTATGTCTGGCCCTATCCGTGTTATGTTATGGCAATCATATTAACCTCTAATTGTCTTACTGTTGAAACAAAATGTTACTCCCTTTGTGAGAGCAGTGTATCTTAAAATAGTTTTTGATTGGTGTGCATCTAAAGGCCCAAAGTGGGGCTGCAGACAGCAATGTTAAGGACGGTGTCTTGACCAGTTTCTCATACTCCATTTGTAGATCTGTTGGAGAAGTGCAGCACACTCCACAAACAAGCTCTGCGTTGTCATCGCACTTATTATTTCAGCATGCAGTGCTGTCTTTACTGCCCACTTCTCTGCAGGCTGTTGAACTGTAATGTGAAAAGATTTTGTACATTGAAAGAGGAACTAACGTGAAAAGACATCTTTGCAAGTGTTGCTGTGTAGGATGTACATACATAAGAAAAAAACCTCAAAGGCCTTTAGAGTAACATCAACTAATCTTATGTTCTAAAATGTGATGTAGAACACAGTTACTTTGTCTCTTCTAGGAGCACTATATATATGTACATGTTTATAGAAAAAGCCTAAAAATGTATATACTTTATTCAAAGATTTTGCTATTTATAAATCCCTTAACTTCGCTATTTACACAATAGTTTTATGTGTGTGTGTGTGCGCGCATGAGTTCCACTTACTCAGTGGAATAACATTATTTGGTTCATTTTTTTTAATAGTCTTTGTCATACAGCATACTGTTGAAGGTTTTTAAAATAGTCAAGGCTGTACAGTTTTCACTGAACAGAAACTAGTATTTAAAAATAAAGCTGTGTGAAGAAGAAACAGGTCCCCAGGCATGTTTCTTTTTCTGAAGCTTCAAAACTTGAGGACACGTTGGCTGCGTGTTAGCAGATGAATCCACTGCCAGAACTTTGCATCCAGATTTCTGCTCTTCCCACAGCTACTCAAGCAGAGTGCATTCTGAAACTGTCTGTAGCTTGGAACACTCTATGTCCTCTTTGTCTGGAAGGATAGTTCAAAGCTAAGTAGTGGTCATTTTGTCCTTGAAAATCACCGCTCTATGGAATCTTGCTGCAGTTCTTGGAAATTAGACTTGTCCAACCACTCGTGTAACTTTTTAAAAAGGCAGTAAATTTGCTTTTACAGTTTCCCTTTATTTGAGGGAAAAGTGAAATTTTTAATTTATTTGTTCTTCCTTACTTCTCGGAACACCGTATTTTCTGTTTAATGCATTTGATCAGTTTTAGCCTGAAGTGGGGCAATGTTTCTAGAGTTATTTTCCTAACATTTCTTGTCCACCAGTTTTACATGGTGTTGTACTCTCTTCTTCATCTGCTGGACCCTTTCTCTGCTCTTACCTTGTCTATTTTTAACTGTATATGAGATCAACAAAAGGAACATGACTAGGAGTAGATGAATCAGGTAGCAGTAAATTATCATCAGATTTCCTTCCTGGCAGTTTTTATAATCTTTGTTTAGAAAATCTTGAAGGGGAGGATTTTGCTCAGACACTACAGTCTGTCTCCATGTACTCTGTACTTCCTACCAGCTAATTTAACATACTGGTTTATTTGTAATCATACTGAGATGCTTAGAGATTAATATTTAAACTGAGAAAAGTTTTGCAAGTTGAGATTTCCAGATTCAGTAGACAAATGTGTGTTCTTCCTTTTGTCAGTAACTGGAAGACTCAGTCCTGCTGATTCCCAGGGGTTGAACGAGTTAGACTTGGAAGAATTCCTGAGGAAAGTCAGTGTTCAGATGTCATTTTTTTTAAAGTGTAAAATGGTTTACTTGCGTGTGTATATATATTTTTACTTAAAAAATAAAATAATATTCTAAAGATAATTTTGTGACTTTTTTTTTTTTAAATGGATAACTACTTGCCCATTAAAATTTTTAGTGAGACAATTGTGTTCTAAGCTAAAGGTGGACAGTGTTGGCATCTGGGACCATTGTTAATTAAAAGCATGTAAGATAAGGAAAATGCTTTATGGCAATAAATTTAACTCTGATCAAAGACTGTATGTAGTATTTGCTTTGTAGAAGTGTATTCTTGGCAGTGAAGAGGGTTTGTATCTGTCTCAATATATTTTAATGCACAGTTGTATCAAAAAAAATTCAGGTATTTATTGTATTTGTCCAAACTTAATTACATCATGGGTTACTCTCATTTCTGTAGCAGATAGAACATTTGGCAAAAAATGTGTACATCTTGTTAAGCTGAATATAATATATTTTTATTAGCCTGCAAATAAATACTCTTCTGCATTGCAGTGGTTTCTTCACCTAATTCAGACTTGTATTTAATTTTCTTCTTTTTTATATATAAAAAACACCCAACTTTGTGTGTGAGAGTTTTCTGTTAAACATGTAGTTTTTACCTGGTCTAAAAGCTAATATGGGGCAAAACAAAACTGTGTAAATTGGACTCTAATCCAGTCTTGGCCAGCAATGATTAATAACAAATTGCATTTTTTGAAAGATAGAGTTATAGGATATGTTTATAATTTCATTGAGATACATTTTCTACTGAATGTTTTTCAGTTGAAAAAAAAAAATTTGCAGTGTCTGGCTGTATAATAATACCATAAATATTCTGAAGCCCTTGTCTAAGAAGAGCTATAAAGACCCAGACCTGTCAACCAATTAAGTAATTTGGGTAAAATTGTGGAT